ATTAAGGCAGACGGGGAGAAGGGGAGAGGGAGCTTAGTCAGGATTGACCTTTCACACCTTCTCGCCGTGGTTATCCCGCATCACCCTGTAACCTGCTTCTGGGTAGGACCTGCGCTTAATTTAGGTGTGCTGAGTGCTGACCTCTCTCCAACATATCGCTCTCATGCGCAGTATTGATTATCAAGTCTATCATTATTATATTCACGGAAACAAACCAAAGTTTAATTTATACAAATTTTAGCATAGTTAACAAAAAATTCAGATTATACAGATGTATTAGTGACATTTCTTGACATCCGTACTGCAAAGTCGTTCTATTTCTTCTTGAAAAGCGTTGTTTTAGCAACGCTTTCACAAATTAGTTTGCCTGTAGGGAAGTTAGGAGAAACTTAATTTCGTGGGGTGGAACTTCAGTTCGAGGCCACCCACTGGCTAATTATCCGTAATGCTAGAGAGCTATCCAACGGCTTGGGTGTAAGCCGCGCCATGCAAGTGCGCGTCATTATGTTTTGGTGTGACTCATCCTATGCTTTCAGGGCGTGGCGATGCGACCGAAGGAGCGATCGAGGAGTCAACCGTATCTGCGGACCGAGGACGCTCGTGTCCAGCTTCTCCATCGTCGGGGCGACGCCCTAGCCTACCTAGACCAGCTCGTGATACAGTCGTGTTTTACTGGTTTTCTTGTGCCTTTCCATTGCTTTGTTCGGATATTCTTGGTTCTGTCTCGGTTTATTCGTTGCTCATGATCAATATTTCTATTGTTCTTTGATGACATTAGGATAAACTCTTAGTAATTATCCGGACTATGGCAGAAGCATGGCGTAGTCACGTTCCACCGCGCACGCAGCTTACTGGTAGCAGCGAGTGGTTCACCCCTCGCTGTAGGTGGGTAAGTGGTAGGCCAGGTAAGTTCTCTTCTGCGCTTTTCTCACAGTCGAGTGAATGCGATAGGCGCCGTTCGTGTTTTGCTGTCAGCTGTGGGGTTGCGCATGCGAAAACTTCGCCCTTGCGGTCGGCTCGAGACAAAGACTATCGTACCCCGTTCAAATTCGCGTTTCGGTCAAAAGCCCCTTTTGGTTTCACTAAAAGTTCATCAGTTAAGTTCTTTGTTTTAGGGCTCATGGAGCTTCATCCATGAGTCATATGGTACGGTAATCTTTGTCTCAACGATTTTTTTTGAGCGATAGCGCGCTTCCCTGGACGGGGGTTTAAACCGTCAGGCAAAAAGTGGATATGGAACTCATGAGTCAAGGTGAATAAAGTTGTTCGTCCCGAGTTCAGGTTTTCGAGGTGTCGTGGAGTGGTGCACCAGTGTTTCCGTCGCCGTTGTTTGCGGTCGTTGCCGCTCTTTTGTCGAATCATGGTGGGACGTTAAACTAGGAGCTTTGTGGCGACGTGATGTGGTCCTCCGGAGAGGTGAGTTTCAGCAGGAAATGGTGTGGTTCGAACCGTTTCGTTTGAGAAAGTTGTGAGTCCCGGGCATCAATAAATAAAACCCGCGGTAAAACAAAAAAAAATGTTTTAAGTGATATAATTCAAATAATGCTTTTATTGCCCTTGTTCTTTTTAATAGAAGTTCATCTCGTTTTTTTCCGCTTATTAGGCTCGACGGGCCTGTTCTCTAGATCAGTTTGTTACCGGTCCCATCGGTCGAGTGCTTCGTCCTTCGATCTGCCTAAGGCCAAACCCCACAATACTGGTGATGACGGGAACCCCCCACTTCCCCTGTTTGCCCGGGGAACTGGAGGGCCCCCCAGCCCTCAAGGAGATTGAGAGCTGGAGGGAACAGTGGTCGCTTAATTACCGGCCGATGACGCAGGGGACACGGCGGCTTTGCGAACGTCGTGAATGGAACCATTTCTGGCGTTTGCAAAGATTTTCGGACGTGCGGGATCCGATCCCTGGGATCCTCTTTCGAGGAGTGCGGACGGCGACGGCGAGCACTCCCTCTGCGCCATCCGGCCGGTGATATAAGTGGATCGAGGGCCGACCATATAGCGATATGGCGAGTTGCCATTGATAAGGGAATTAGCTTTCGTCCAGTTAACAGTTTCTAACTCGTTTACTAGCGCTTAACTTCTTGTTCGGCGAACGCCTTTCTTCACGCTTCGAGTATGCGGGCTTTGGCGGGACGCCCTTTGTGCACATATGGCAAGTCCATCGAGCCGCGCTCGTCAACACTTACCAACCCAATAAAGGGGACTATCGCCAGAGCTAGCCCATGCCGCGTAAGGTTTCTTCCTTCTGGCATATAGCAGGTAGCGACCGCCCCTCACTTATCTCACTCACCTATTCCACCGATGCCACGACCGCTGTCCAACTAGTCTCTTCACAGGTTGGTTCTATTTAATTATATGGTCGTTTTCCATCCTAAGATTTACTATTTTCTTTTGTTCACTCTCTTGAAAGCCTTTCCCAGCAAATTCTCTATCTCCAACGTCATCATCCAGCGAGCACGTGGTTCTCTTATTTCTCAGACTTATGTCCGCATTTCTTTTTTACACTGCGGCCGCTTCATAAACATAGACGGTCATCAGGCGCGCTAGATAAGCCAGGAATGTTTTCTTTGCGCATGTTTTCGTTCCCTATGTTTTCTTTGAAATTTTCTCAAGCCTCAATATTCTTTTATCTCATCTGTTCTACATTCTTTTCATAAATATTAGTCATTAACCATTAGGAATTCCAGCTTAAGGATGGATTACGGTAGCCCGCCCCATTGGTTGACCCCGCCCACAACCAAGTGAATAAGAGGGTTAGTCACTCTCCTCATTGTCGTAACTGTTCATCTGTTACTTGGCTTACGTTCTTACTTGCTGCGCTCTTACTGCTCTTGTTCATGGGTCCTCCTGTGACCCGCTCTCGTACTCACTCTGCTGATTCTAGGGCGGTTGCCCTGACACCCAGATCAAGTGATTATATGTCTGCTTCCGATAATCTAGCAGGCGCTTTATCTTATTTAGATGACCGTGCCAACGTTCACGGGAAGGACGCGAAGACCTTACGCGACGCGACGGTGCTCGCCATCTCCGAGGCGAGGGAAGAGGCTAAAGCCGAGACTTCTCGGCTAGGCGCAAACGATTAATGAAGGTAACTCCAACCTCCTTTCCGACTTGAATCATTCTTTTGAGGCGGTCGGGGAGCGCATAAACGCGCTTCCAGTGGTCGCGACCGTGAGCCCGGATGGGCCGTTACCCAGAGTAGTTTCGTTTACAGGATCAGGTGAGGATCCGATGCAATTCTCCCTATGGCTTCGTCGCTTGGAGGACGTCATGCGGATGAGGTCCACCTCTTGGACTTCCCAACAGAAGGCCTACTTTCTTACAGGCTATTTGGACGGTGTAGGCTAGGGAGAAAGTCGAGGAACTTTCAGAGGAAGAACGCGACGATTATTCAGCTATCGTCGCTCACTGAGGAAGTCCTTCGAGGGTCCGCAGCACCGGGCACGTCAGGCCCTGTCCTCATGCCAGCAGCAGATGGGTGAGTCTTCCTCCACTTTTGCTAACCGATTATTACTTTTAGTCCGAGCGGCAACCGCTGGCCAAGACACGGCCAGCCAAAAAGATCGTGTTCTGGAGGAATTCGTGGCACGCCTTCGGCCGGATATTCGCTACTATGTCAAGCTCGACAATCCGGCTTCATTCGAGCAAGCGGTGGCTAAGGCTCAAATGGTCGAACAGCTTCTAGCCGAGGCCACAGCTGACCGCTTGATGCGCCCATCCCAGATGGCGCAGCCAATCGAGGTGAAGGCAGCCGCTCCTCCAAGGCGACCAGCGCCTCCAAGACAGGAATCCAGGGGTTTTCAATATGCTCAACCTTCGGTTCCTTTTAATCGTGGTTCAACGCGCTTTTTCAGAGAACAAGAGGGAATCCTCCACCTCAGCCGCGCAGGCTGGGTTCGCCACCCACGTGCTTCAATTGTGGTGGAATCGGCCACTTTTCTCGCTCCTGCCCTTCGCCTCGCGACTCTCGCCGGAATACAGGTGGGTCCGTTTTTCGTAGTTTTCTCGTGATCGCGGGTTTTCCAATGTCTCTTCTCGTCATCTTGTTTCTCCTTCTCGCTATGATCGTGATCACGAACTTTCGGAGGCTCGCGAACAAATTCGATCTCTTTCTATTTCCCTGCGAGAAAATCAGTCGGCTTTGGAAAGGTCCGACGCCAGAGTTAATGCCTTGGTTCGTCGCAATGAAGAACTGGCAAACTCTGCTTTTGGGAATCATTCTAATTCCTCTTCTGCATCGCTTCCTATGCCTCAAGTTAAGTCTCTGTTGCCTATTGTTATGCTCTTATGCTGTGGCATGAGCGAGGCATTGCCCGCTTCGGCGTGGCTTTGTCCACAGGACCCATCTGACGCTCTTGCTCGTATTCCTACGTTATATAATTGCTCACATATTATTCCACGTGTAACAGAGCCTCCTCGCTCGCTTTCTATTCATATCTACCGTCCTAATACTCAACGGTATGATACTTTGGCCTTTCTTTGTAAGATTATTACTCAGTCGGTTACTTATTCGGTCAATCTATTTGGGGCGCGATATGAAAACCGTACTGAGACTCACGCCATTGTTTCTCTCGAGGCGTGTAAACTTATGATCCAGCACCATAAGTGCGAATTTGGGGATATGGTGCAATCTAACGAGGTCTGGTCTACTTCTAACCCGTTGGTCATCGATTGGCCATCGGCCCCGTTCGGCTGCTGTGCTGAGCACTCCATTTCCATCTCCAACTGTATTCTGGTCCGCACAGTGGTCCATATGCGCCATGGGGCCACCTCTCCAGACTCACCAGCTGGCAATCTCGCCCAATGCTCCTACGAAGCTGGTAATTGTGTCTTACGGGACGGATCCATTCTCCTTTGGACTCCCAATGAGAAGGAGAACGTGCCGTTTTACACCGGTTATGAAGATGAGGGGTCGTCAACTCGGTGAGATCTGGATTAGTGACTCCAAGGAGTTCGCACTTTCATGGCGAGATTCTAGCGATCGAATACAGGACTGTGGGTCTAATTTGATTATCTCCGACCAGGGTTACGCTGTCGCACCTCTCACCCGGCTGCCCCGTTCCGCCAGCGTGGACGCTGGCATAGTGACATCCAACCAGCTGGCGGCGCAACTCTTAGCGGTAGAGGGATCCGTAGGGTCAGCAGTTTCGGCGCTCTTTCATCATGCTCTGTCCGCGCTTTGTGACAGAACGAACCTACTGGCCTTCGCTCTCCATACCTCGCTGGCCGCTAGTCCTACTCTTACCTTACGCAATCTGTTGGGGCGCGCCGACATTGCTGCCACCTCGCTGGGGAACGACCTGGTGCAAATTCATCGGTGCATGGCTATTCCTCCCCATCATTTTCAGCTCATTCCATTCAACGGAACCTGCTATTCTCAACCGCTGGTCAAAATCACCCCTCCCAGCGGCGAGGCGATTTTCTCGTTCCTCGATCCAGCTACTCTGGTCGTATCGCAGCGCGCCTCTCCAGCCGATTGCTCCGCAGTGCGCTATTTCTATCTTTCGCACGACGCTTCCTATCTTAGATTTGATTCTTCAACTGGCGAATCCCAAGCCCTACCGTTTTCTGGTATTCGTAGCATAGGGCCCCATTCTAGCCTCAACGCCTCCGCTTTAGCGCTTCCGCTTACCATCTTTCATAATTTAATCCTGACGAACCTTAGCGAACTAGTCCAGGACCATCAGTGGCAAGAATT